TTACGACAGTGCACTTTTACTTTCGCCCTCTGGGGGGAGCCTCGCTGGAAAATCAACACCGGTTGCATAGTGTACCTTTAACACCAAATTTTAAACACTGAATTTTTTTAGACATTGAATTCCTTACACTCAATTTTTATCTGGTAAAAAATCAGTCTGCCAAGGCTCTTGGTTTGATCCGGAAGAAGCGGCAATGGCGGCAAACTTTTTTTCTTCCTCATTTCGGCCAGAGGCAACATGGCGGCGGCAAACAGACAGCGGTGCCGTACTAGCTGTGATCGGCTCAGTTGTTTCACCCGGTCTGATAAGAGGAAAAACTCTAATAGCTGTCTGTTAGTAGCTAACTGACGTTTTGTAATTATGTTTAAAAAAAAAAAAAAAATTCCTCATTCAGCCGGGAACAGCGCTGAGCGCAGCCGTTGTGTCACGTGACCAAATTAGCTTATTTCATTGGCTAGAAGCTGCTCGACTCTATCGAGTGTAGATTGCTTTGGATTGACTTCACCAAAAGGTCAACACTTTTGCAGCTGAATTTTTTGCAGGTTAATTTTTTGCAGCTGAATTTTTTGCAGGTTAATTTTTTTCAGGTGAATTTTTTTTTGCAGCTGAATTTTTTGCAGGTGAATTTTTTTTTTGCAGCTGAATTTTTTGCAGGTTAATTTTTTTTTTGCAGCTGAATTTTTTGCAGGTGAATTTTTTTTTTGCAGGTGAATTTTTTTTTGCAGCTGAATTTTTTGCAGGTGAATTTTTTTCAGGTGAATTTTTTTTTTGCAGCTGAATTTTTTGCAGGTGAATTTTTTTTTGCAGCTGAATTTTTTGCAGGTGAATTTTTTTTTGCAGGGTAATTTTTTGCAGCTAAATTTTTGCTGCTAATTTTTTTGCAGCTGGATTTTTGCAGCTGAATTTTTTGCAGCTGAATTTTTACCAGTTAAAAATTGAGTTTAAGGAATTCAATATCTAAAAAAAAAACAGTGTTTAAAATTTGGTGTTAAAAAAGGCAGATTCCAATGAGACCGTTATTCTTCCATACAGGCGTCACTGTTTAAAAAGGATGACTTTGAATTAGAAGGGGGTCTACTGGGGGGAATCTTCAGATGTTCACAGAAAAGAGCCACATTCTGTGCCTCAGGCTGGAGTTGGAGCCCACTGACAATAAAAAAAATAAAAAACAGTGAAAGAAATCATCGCGTTCTGACCCAAGGATTGCGGATTGCAGAACAGAAGGACCAACACAAGACAGTGGACCAACAGTTGTAGACTAAAGGCTGGTTTATGCTCAGAAACCAGGTCGTCTGCGTTTGTGTCGCAGTTAACGCCCCTCTGCTGCACCTCTCCTAAATTGTAGGTGACTGCAGACAGTGCCGCAGACAGGAGGCCTCTGATTGGTCAAATCTTCATCCCTTCTACACTATACGTATTTCCTGTTCGGTTCCTTACCGGCTAGTTTTTTGTTTATGACTGCCATTGTGGAAAATGACTCGTGAATAACTTCTGCCAACAAGCAATTTTCTCCTAAATCTACGAGTGAATCTTGTAATCGTGAAGTTGCTCTAACTTGGTTTAGAAGATTTATTAGTAGCGTTGATGTACAGAACTTTAACAACCTAACTGTCCTCCTGCAGAAGGATACAAAATACTGTCTAGACATAAAGACTGTGATCGATACCGTCGACGGCCCCAAGACTGACCTGACGCTGATTCTGAAGAAAATACGCGAGGATATGACTATCATCGCCAAGGGTAATGTCAAGGAGATGGAGACCTTGTATAAATCCAGGGTAAGGGATGTTGATTTACCTCACAAATTATAACTTTGCTGTTCTAACAGTGAAAATGTGTTTTTGTTACCCTGTGGGAACAATTTACCAGAAATATGCTACATTTTGAAGACTGATTTGAAGACCAATCATTGGTTCCCATGAGGAGAACTTCTTTTCTTGGGGTTCTGGTTCCCAACAACAAAACAACTTGTTTTGGAAAATATGCCTGTGTTAGAGAACATGAAAGCCAGAATCACCAATAAAAGGAATAAATATATATAAAAAAATATCTTTAATTTAAACACTCTCTCTGAAACTGATTTTTTTTTTAAATGCAGTCGTTTGGTCCCTTTTTGCGTCCCTTTTTCTTACGGGGGTTAGCATGAAAATCTGACATGTGGATAGCATTAGCAACATTAGCATTTAACCATTTTCCATGATAGGTAAAAAGTTACAAAAGCGGAAACATTTACCGGCCGGGGTACCAGACCTTGATTGTTGGAATCTGCCCTTTTATTTATAATAAAACTGCAGTGGTGATAGCGAGGTGGGCTAAGGTTAGCATGCTTTCATGTCATTAAACATGTTTTATGAATTTAAATCATAAATTTCAATGAGTCCAAAAGGTAGAATAAAGTTGGGCTTAGTGGGCATTTCTGGTTTGTACAA